GGCGCTTGTTGCGCCCTGCGTTCCTCGAGAGCCAGCGGGTGCAGGTCGGGCCCAGGTGAGGCTCAGGTGAGGGGCGGGCTCCCGGTCACCGAGGCCTGCCTGGCCTTGAAGACTGCCTTCGAGGACCCCGGATTCCCTAAGCCTGGGATCCCAGAAAATTACTTCGAGGATGGATAGGTGAGGCACAGACCAGCCGGAGGCCCTGCCTCTGCCTGGAGAAGGGTTGGCATTAACCTGCTCAAGACTGCTACTCCAGCTGCCTCTGAGGCAGCGAGATGAGCAATCAGTGCTCAGGCAGCCGTGGGAGTCTGTCTCCGCTTGCTTCCACTCCGCAGATGACAGACACAACAGTTTTACTGGGGGCTGAATCTTGTCAGCACCTCTGGCTCCTAAGGAACAAATCTTATCCATACCCATTTCAAGTCAGAGTACAGGGCCCTCTGCATCATAACTTAAAGTCAGAGTGGCCATGCTGGGGTGAAGGGGCTGATTGTACCTTCAGCCACCCTGGAAACCTGATTTCCATAGATACCAGTTTAAAGCCCCGATCCTGTCTTCAGCTCCCATTTCTAACTCTCTACAGTTCATGGTTCTCCAGAATGACAGCTCCCAAGACTGATGTAGACGAGGTAGTTGGACCAACAACCATTAAGACTGTCGGAGGAGCCCAGCTCTGGGTCCATCGTTATAAGCTGTGAACAGGTGAGTGGAGATAAACTGATCTATCTCCCCAACTCTGCACCTGGTGTAATGGCTGCTCTCTTGTTAAGACATTAACGTTACCCACACACCCCCATCCCAACACACCTTTTGTTTTGTTTGCTTTGGTCTGTTGAGACAGGATCTCAATAGCTGAGATGCAGTCTTTGAACTAGATAAGGAAACAATACTAGCTTGGACTCTTGATCCTCCGGCCTTCACCTGGAATTACAGGCATGCACCACCACACCCTGCTTGATTCAGACCCTCACAGTTGAGCTGTGCAAATGTTATTAGGTTTCTGATGCATTGCTCTAGCAGTTTGAACAACATCTACAGGAGAGGAAGGTGTGGGTCCCCTAGCCCATGAAAGAAGCCACTTTCTCCCATTAGTTCCCACTACCCTGTGCCTGTGGAGTGTCTCAGAAGGCAGTGTTATTGGAGAGTAGGACTGTGGTAGCCAGGATGTGAGGTCTGGTAACTACTATAGGAAAGCCCTCCCCACCCTATGGCTCTCACCCAAAAGAGTGGTAAATTATCTACAGCAAATGTAAATGGTGTCTGGGCAAGCTTTCCTGAATTTGTTTTGAGTCTTTTTTTACATTAACAACATATCATGACAGAAAAAAATGAATGAGCTGTCACCAATTTCTAAACTAGATGTCACCAATTCTCTATAATCCTGGTAGTGAAAGCTAATTTTATATTTATTTATTTATTTATTTATTTGGACAATTTGATCTGGCTGTCCAGGAACTCACTATGTATAGACCAGGCTGGCCTGAAACTCATAGAGATCCACTTGCCTCAGCCTCCTAGGTGCCAGGATCAAAAGTGTGCACCAGCATGCCCAGCCCTCACAGCCAGTTTTAAAAGCTGGTGGGAGAGGCTTTGAAGTAAAAGAGGAGCAGTGAAGACCTCATCCCTGAAGCCCTGTGGAACCTCAGCCTGCACTTGAGAATTTCAAGAAATTGCAGTGGATTTTTGTATATTAGTTTAACCTTTGAAGCACACATTGATAATCATTCCCTGAAGCCCTGTGGAACCTCAGCCTGCACTTGAGAATTTCAAGAAATGGCAATGGATTTTTGTATATTAGTTTAACCTTTGAAGCACACATTGATAATCAGCCATGAGTGTATCTGCAGTGACCTCTAATTAGTTGCCTGTCCCTCTGAGCAGATTTTGTTCTAGGGTGAGCCCCACCTCTCTGGGAAGGGAGTTCAGCATGTATACAGCACATATTGGCCTGTCAGGAAGGCAAGTCCTGATGAAACAGCTAGTGGAGAGGACAGAACACAAAGCAAGGCAAAAAACAGGTCAGCTCTACCATCCTGCCCTGGGTTAGGGGTGGGACAACCTTCTGTGGCTTCCCTCAGGGGAGCTCAGGTCTCTTTGTCCTTTAGCCTTGTAGGTGCTCTCCAATCTCAGGGAGGCAGAAGGGGATCAAAGGAGCCTGGAAAAATTAAGAGTGACACAGAGCAGATGGTATTTTTCCAAATGACCCTGTGCCTCCTGCATTAGGCTCCTTTTTCTAGTGATTCTGTAAACGTGTCTTCAGTGTTCTTGACACCAGGCTAGCTGACATGTGGATACCTGGCTCTGACCATACAGGCTTGTGTCACTTTATTCCACAGCTTCTTCTCTGTCTGCGCTGATAAATCCATGATCTGTTTACATGCCACACAGTCTTTTCTCCAAAAAGACGTAGCCTGCCACTAGACTCAGACCCACCTGTATGATGTTGTGACTGCCAAAACGTTGGGACAACTTTCATGCTGATTAGCAGAACTTGATGTCACCCTATGAAAATCATCTGTCACATATTTGACATTTTCATACACAACAATGTAGTGAAGGCAGCTCTGAAAAAAAGCTTGAGAAAGTGCTTTTTGGGTCCTTCACTGGGTGCAGCTTTGGTTAAAGAGCATATTGGTCATTCCCAGAAAAAAAAAAAAAAATCCACCTATGAAGTCCAACTTACCTGGGCATGTGGATAGTCACTCTTTTGAAAGCACAGAGAAGCATTTATAGACTGCTGTGACTCCTCCTGATGACACTGGGAGGTAAATGATGTCTCTTTTGTCCTTTTACAGCAGAAAAGGTAAAAGCCTAGAGAGGAAAGGAAAGGGCTCCTGGAATTTGCAAGCATTCCCCCTACCCCACCCCCGAGTCTTCCACCTACAGGATGGAAGTGACTCCTAGTACTGCTGGCAAAACTGAGGTTTGAGAGGCTTGCATGAGCCTCCCCAGCCAACAAAACATTAGGTTGTAGCCCCAGGGATGTTATCTCTCATGGTGGTGTGGATGTTTGCTGATATTACCAGTTAGCTATAGCCTTCATTATGTTTTCTTTGCTCCTAGGATGTGAAATGGGCTGACCCATAAGCCCTGCCTCCCAGCACCCAGCCTGCCTGCTAGGATGTTCCTCATGAACGCCCCTCCAGTGGTGGCGCTCCAGTCCAGATGGGAGGCCTTTGGCCAGCCCAGGAGCTTCTGCTTTCCTGACTGCTTCTCAGAGTCTAAAGAGGACACCTCCAGGGCCTCAGTGAGTGCCAGGGTACAGATGCTTATCAGCACACTGCAGAGAGACAAGGCTGCCCTGGGCATGAGCCATGAGCGTGTCACACAGAGAGGCCAACGTGCAGAAAGGTGCCAAGATACCAGACTGGCCCCTAAACCTGTTGTGTGCAGAGAACCTCCAGAGTTCCGTGCCTGTGGTCTTGTTGCAGACTGCAAACCCCTAGAGAAAGATGAAGCTGGGAGACATGGTCCCTTGGAGATAGATTCTGACAGTGATGACTCCGTGGACCGGGACATCGAGGAGGCTATCCAAGAGTACCTGAAGGCAAAGGGTGGGGCTTCTGAGCCTATGTCCCGAGGGGTCCCCTGTGTCCCAGAGCCTGCCCACAGCTGTCCCCTACCCATCCCATGCCCTCCACAACTCACTCCTGGCTCAGGTAGTGTTCCTGTGGGAACCAGTGAGGACCAGGGCTCCACCTCCCCAGCTAGCATGAGCAGCGAGGACTCCTTTGAACAGAGCATCCGAGCTGAGATAGAACAGTTTCTTATTGAGAAAAGACAGCATGAAAACCCAAAGTGTGATGGGTCTGTGGATAAAAAATCAGACTCAAACGAAAGCCCTGCCAGACTTAGAGGAAACCGAGAGACCTCATCAAGGGCAGCTCTGGTAGGAACCTGTAAGGAGTTCATCTTCCGCAAACCTCCCAGGTTAACAAAGATGAGCATGCAGCCCAGAAACTTCCGACCTAAGGTCACCACAGAGCCTGAGACCCCAGTGAGCACAAGGCTGGCTGTCCACAGACCAGAGGCTGCACAGAACCGGGGTGGGGTAAGGAGGAGCACGCCTGCCAGGCGCAGCAAGCGCATCAGGAACTCGGCCCCAGTGCATCAGGCATCCGACTCCAGCAGTGATGATGGCATCGAGGAGGCCATCCAGCTGTACCAGCTAGAGAAAACCAGGAATGAGGCCAGTGGGGATCCACCTCTGAGAGCCCAGCTGAAAGAGGAGAGCCCTGGTAGTGCTCAGCCAAGTGCCTTGCCTGAAGCTCACAGGAGACCCCCAAGCAAGAAAAAGCTAGCAGCCCCAAAGGTTATGGACACCACCCTGGGAAGTCTCCACCCTGACCCCCTCTCCAAGCTCCTAAAGGATGTGAGAACCTCTGTACTTCCAGGACACACAGCTGCCAAGAGCGAAGCCGTGCACCCGGCTACATCATGCCTGGCAGACACATCCACCGAGCTGATGTGTGCAGAAGCAATCCTGGACATTTCCAAGACCATACTGCCAGTACCCATGGAAGGCAGTGACAGGCCTCCATCCATGAACCCACTCTTCTGTCCCCCACCCATACCTCCCCGCTCTGAAGGTGACAGCAGCAACATTGACAGTGATGATAGCATAGAGCAGGAGATCCGGACATTTTTGGCCCTCAAGGCACAAGTAGGGAGTCCACAGCCTGCCCAGGGCCCACTGTCTCCACCTGGCCCCAGTGGCCAGACTGGCATCCCCAAGGCATCTCTTGCTAAAACACCAGAACTTCCCCTGGGCTGCAAACGGAAAAGGAGAGGTGGAGGCAGCACTATAGTGCCCAAGAAAATACGGGAGGGTAAAGAAAGTGCCCAGGACAGTAACCACATCCAGGGGAAAGGTCAGCCTGGCCATGATGGTTGGGACCCTCCCAGCCAGAGCAAACTCCCAGAGGCCCCAGGAGGGGAGGCTGAGGCCAAGGACCAGGCTGTCCCTTCCAGGACAGCTGGGCTCAGTGATGCACACCTGTCACAAGGCCAGGGGGGCCTCGGGAAAGTCAGTGAGGGGAAGTGTGCTGGTGAGAAAGAGAGCTCTGAAGATAAGAGCAGTTCTCTGGACAGCGATGAGGACCTGGACATGGCCATCAAGGACTTGTTAAGATCTAAGCGGAGGTTCAAGAAGAGGTGCAGAGAACCCCGGGCTGTGTGTAAGAAGGTCAGATTCGGCACCACAGAGACTCGGTGTGGAGAGAAGCTGAGCAGCCTCCCTGGGGACTGGAAGGACCACGGGCAGCAGGCACTACGGAGCTGTCTGTCCAAGTGCAGAGGGGACAATAAAGACAGCCCAGGAAGAAGCCCAGTGAGCATTTTCAGCAGTGTGGCAGAGAGGGCAAAGCTGGGTGGTACAGGTGGTGAGGATGCAAGCCCAGCCTTGCTTCCCAGGAAGAAGAGTCCAGAAGGGACTCCTCCTGCTAAGGACACAGGAGTCAGCGGTCGCCCTTCTGCCTCCAGCCCCCTGTCTGAGGACAGCTCAGTGGACAGTGATGACAGTATCGAGTTAGAGATCAGGAAGTTTTTGGCAGAAAAGGCCAAAGAGTCTGTACGCAGTTCAGAACCTCAAGGGGGTCCTGCCAAGCCAGAGATGCCATGCAGGAAAGAACCAACCCCGGGATTACAGCCTGGAGTGTGCACACGGAGCCAAAAAGCCAGGGCAACCCCTCACCTGGCTGAAGGAAGGAGAGGCACAGAGAAATCTCGGACACAGGCAGCCAGCCTCTTAAGCCAGACTGGGAAGGGTACTTCCCGTGCAGAGCAGTCCACTCGTCTCCCCACTGCTCTGGGCAGAAGCGAGCCAGCACTGCCTAGGAACACCAGCAGGAACAATTCTGCCAAAGTGTCTCCACCAAGCAGGAAAAGTGCCAGTATTCACAAAGACCAGAGCCCACGGGGAACACAGACTGCCATGGCAGAAAGTATTTTTGGTCAGCTGCCCAGTTGTGCCAAAGTGGGTGCTGAGGCCAGGGGGACATTTCACCTGAACTGTGGCAGTCAGAACTTGCTGGCCCCCAATCCTGGACCCCAGGCTGACCTCACCCTCCCCTGGAGTGACTTTGCACACCAGAGCAGGCTGTCCAGCCCATGGGCACTGAATTCCGGACAAGGCACACTATGGACAGGGGTCTTTGGGGGTGAGAAAGAAAAGGGGGTCACATCACAGACTGGGGGCCCACTAAGCCTTTCCTCAGGCCCCAGGAAGGGCCTGCCTTTCCTCTCCACCCAGCTCTTCCACTTTGGGAAGAATGTCTTCTGGGGGGAGGGGCAAGCAGGCTGGCCTCTTCAGCCCCAACCTGGGCCTACCTCTGCAGGGCCCAGCATTCTCGGCCTTCAGGGAGACCCAACCTGGCCACAGCCCTGTGTTTGGAAGCCCACACTTGCTTATGAAGGACAGTGGGCACTGGCCAAGCCGGAAGGCTCAGGGATCCCTGAGACAGCAGGACAGGAGGAATTCTGGCTCCGAGGGCAATGTCCTAGACCTGAGATATCGACACAGGGTTGACAGGGAACACCAGGACCAGGAGGCCTTGGGCAGTGATGCCAGCGAATTCAGTGACACCTCTGTGGAGGATGGGGGCAGCACCATAGTGAGCAGCAAAGGCCTCTAGCTTTGACAGGCATGTCACTCTCTTGGCATAGCTGTGGGAAATGTGTTCTCTCTCTCTCTCTCTCTCTCTCTCTCTCTCTCTCTCTCTCTCTCTCTCTGTGTGTGTGTGTGTGTGTGTGTGTGTGTGTGTGTGTCTTTGCAACATGGGGTAGGGTAGGGGATACTGACTGTTAAAAGAAACAAAAAGAAGGGTCCCTTCTGTGCAACCCCCCTGTATAAATATGTACGCTAACCTCAAATGACATTTTTATTTAATGGATGTGTCCTGGTACATATGGTTTTTGTAGGAGATTTTGTAAATTATTTAAAGTAGTGCAAGAAACATTTTTTGAAAATTGTTTGATCTTGCAGGGTCTCTGTGGTCTCCATGCATGTGTGTAGATGAGCAAACACTTGATTCTCACGGTCCCTGTGAGGGTCAGACACAGAGGATGGATCTGTGGGTCATTGCTGGTGCTGATACTCAGGCCTGGAGACAGAAGCAGCTGTCCACCTTAAAAGTGCTAATATGGCTGAGGTGTGTCAGGATGCCACTGGGTCAAGTGTGCTTCATGAAGGACTCTGGTCCCTGGCCAGAGACTGTCTCTGCATCCTGTAGCCATGGCCTGTAATTAGAAAGCACTTCAAAATACAACAGCCAGCAGATAGCTAGACAGTCATCCCTACCTAGTGTGGGAATCTGGCTGCTGGCTCTACAGCTCAGCTGAGCCCAGATCATCCAGTGTCCAGTCACTGGGGCATTCTAGCATCCATGTAAGCCTCTCTATATAGAGCTACCGATTTGCTTTTATTCGTGGCTCTAAAGGGTGATTCCATGTGTTCATTTTGACTGTCCTGTTGTTGTATGTATGTATGGGTGAGTAGTAAGGCCATGCGATGGCGTGGTTCCTGAACACTGTAGCCACCTGTGATGGTGAACCCCAGCCCTGAAGGACTCAAAGCACAGTTTTGTGTGACCAATGATAACACCAGCAGCCTGCATGGTTCTCTGCAACCCTGCCTCTATTCGGGAGAAAGAGGGGCCTGGCCAGTGCTGAGGCTAGCTATAGGCATCAGTTTGGGATCCTGAGAATTAGCCAGAGTGATACTGCCTTGGTGCCAAGATGCCAGTGGTAACTGGGGGCTGAAGATATGCTGGACCCCAGATGTGAGCATTACATCTGTGTTGTGATTATCACCTGCCACCCCTGAGTTCTGCAGCTCAGTATACTGGGTTGCTGTGGCTCTACTTTATGGCTGAGTTCTGTTGGTATTCTAACATTTTAATATGGAAGTGAGTCTTATACTTTATGCACCTGGGTCTTAATTGTAATTCACTTCTGTGCCCAAATGCAGACACACACTCCCACCATCCTCAGTGCCTGCCATGTTGGAGCTGTGACATGCACAGGGCTCTGAGGTCCTGTCTTGCCCCTGAATGATCTTGATCTGTGTATAATAAATTTCATGTGCATATTATATTTGTTCATGTGTTTCTGGAAGAAACAGCTTTGTGTCATCTGTGCTCCCACTTTAAATTTTTAAAGAGTGCTTTTAACCCTTGAAAACAAAAAGCATCTTGTTTTGTATGTAAGACCCATTGGGTTTTTGTTTTTGTTTTTCTAATAAATAAACTAAGTACTAGCCACAAATTAGTTTGTGCTTTGTTTGGCGGGGGTGGGGGGTGGGGGTGTTCTACAAACATGACCTGGCCTGGATGGAGTGATAACATCACCACCAAAGGAAAGGAGCTTCACCCAGAAACATAGCATCTCTCAGACCCATCCCTGCTCCCTGCCTGTGGATGGCACTGGTCCAGTCTCCTGAACACAGGAGCAGTAATGCTTTCCTTCCAAGTTTGCTGTGCTGTGTGCAACAAAAGCTGCTCCCAATTCTGGGAAAGACAGCACCCTTGGACTGAGGGCTGTACCATCCATCAGCTATGACCAGTGCAAGTCCCACATGTACACTTATATCTTAGTTTCTTGTCCTGTCTCTGTGACAATATACTCTTGACAGCATGATAAAATGTTCTTGGCAAAAGCAACTTTAGGGTTGATTCTGATACAGTCCATCACTACAGGAAAGGCCAGGTGGGAAAAGCTTAAAGTAGCTGGTGACATCACATCCACAGTCAGGAAACAGACAAATGCCCCTATGGTGGCGCTGGTGGCTTTGTGAGAAGCCTGATATGGCCGGCTTGTTCTGCCTCGTTATGTGCTGCCTCTGTATGTTCTGGTCCAAAATGAGGACCTTGCAGATGCCCAGGAGATACCAGGTCCTTGATTTGGAATTCCTAGTCTCTAGAACCCTGATCCAGATAAACTCCATTCTATATAAATTACAAGCCTGAGATAATTTGTTATACCAACAGAAAATGGAATAAGACTATCAGGTGGACCACATGAGAAGTATTTGGGCTTTTTGTCTTTCCAGACACTTCCTCTATTTAACATGTGGTGTCTACCTTTGTGCTCTCATCATCAGCTCTCCCAGGAAAAGCATTTTATTGGACATGGCCAATTAAAGCAATTCAGTGCCAGAATGAAACCCACACAGCCCGCAGGCAGACTTGGTCCTTCTGCCAACCCACATTCTGTTTGCCAGCTAACAATTCTGGCCCAGGCCCTATATTACCCCTGGGCTTAGAAGTGGGGACTGTCCAGTACACAGGTTTTCTCAAATGTGCCGATTGCTGAGACAAATCTGCCCCATCCCATGGCAGGACCAGAGCTTAGACACTCTGGTTCTTCCTACCATGGCACTGTCCACCTGCTCTTCAGGATGGCTGCTATGAAGGCCTTCCCTCTTTTCCGAACTTGGTTGGTGGGGCTTTTTCCTTTCAACAGAAGGCAGAAGGGAGCTGAGGATGTAGCTTGGCTGAATTTGATCTCCAGCACCACATAAACCAAGTGTGATAGCGTATGCCTGTCTTCCCAGCATCAGGAGGTGGAGAAAGTCAAAAGTTTAAGGTCATCCTCAGTTATGTGGAATGGGGAGAGGCTAAACACAAGGCCAGTGGCATTTAGGAATATTTTTAATGGTGGTTAACCCATTTTCAGCAAGACATGGTAGCTCACACCTTTAATCCCAACACTCTGGAGGCAGTCAGGTGATCTCTTTAAATTCAGGGCCAGCCCTGTTTACACAGTTCCAGGACAGCTAGGGCTACATAGTGAGACCTTGTCTCAACAAGCTACAGGTTGATTAATTCAGGGGCTGGCGAGATGGCTCAGCAGTTAAGAGCAGTACTGCTTTTGTTGAGGACACAGGTTCAGTTCCCAACACCCAAATCAGATGGTTCACAGTTCTCCTGTAACTCTAGTTGCAGAGGCTCTTCTTCTGTGCTCTTCTGGCACCTGCACTTGTGTGGCACATAACAAACACATAAAGGCGCACACATGTACACAAATAAGTTTAAAAAATTTGTTTATGTTGTGATGGTTATTCTTGTCTGTCAACTTGACTACATCTGGAATGAACTACAATTTAGAAATAGAGGGCATACCTGTGAGAGAGTTTTCTGCTCAGTTTAAAGTGGGTGAATCCACATCTAGTCAGTCTGGACCTTTGAAGTAAGAAGACACATCTTTGATCAGGATCTCGAGGCTAGAAGACACACCATTAATCTAGGCCACACCTTCTGCTGGAAGCCTACATAAGGACATGGGAGAGGAAGCTTCTGCGCTTTGCCTGCTTGTTCTCACCTTGCTAACAAGTCCATTCCTTCACTGGCATTGGAGTCTACCTCTTCAGGATTCCAGCTTCTACAGAAGACCAGCTGAGACACCCAGCCTTGTGGGACTGAGTAACTACTAGATTCTTGGACTTTCTGTTCACAGTTAGCCATTGTTGGACTAGCTGGACTGCAGCCTATAGTCATTCTAATAAATCCCCTTTATATACAGAGAGGGATTCATTCCATAAGTTCTGTGACTGAACCCTGATTAATACATACATGAATAGGTGTTTTGTCTGCATGTGTGTCTGTGCACCACATGGTGCCCTCAGCTGGAGTTACTGACAATTGTGGCTCACCAGGTGGGTGTGCTGGGAATTGAACCACGTCTTCTGAAACAATAGCCAGTTCCCTTAACCACTGAGATATCTCTCCAGACCCTAACTAATTTCTTTTTGGAGACAAGGTCTTTCTATGTAGTCCTGACTATCCTACAACTGGCTACATAAACCAAGCTAGCCTCACACTCACAGAAATCTGCCTGCCTCTGCCTCCCTAGTGCTGGGATTAAAGGTGTGTACCACCTCTGCTGATATCCCTAAATAAACCTTATAAAACTGTCAGATGTAGTGGTGCATGCCTACAGTCCAACACTTGGGAAACAGAGGCAGGTGGATTTATGTTGTTCGAGGACAGCCTGGTCTACAGAGTGAGCACCAGGGCAGCCAGGGCTACCGAGAGAAACCTTATCTTGAAACAACAACAAAAACAAACAAAACCTTTTCAGCTGGACACCCAGCCTGCTGGGTTTTTTTTTGTTTGTTTTTTTGGTTTTTTTTTTGTTTTTTTTTTTTGAGACAGGGTTTCTCTGTGGCTTTGGAGGCTGTCCTGGAACTAGCACTTGTAGACCAGGCAAGCCTGCTAGTTTTCTACTACAGAAGAGCAGTCTGTAGATTCTGGCTTCACTGTTGGCTCATAGCCTTTTAATTAAGCCAATCGATTTTTTCTAGAAAGCACTCCCACTCCAAACGAGACATTAAAACTGGTGCCAAATGTTTACTTTGTGCTTTAGTAATGGTGAAGGAAAAAAGCAGGGCGTTTAATTTCTGTGAATAAAGCATTAATGACAGTGTGTAAAGATTTTCTTCTTTCTGATCTCAACACCTCCCCCCTCAAAAAAAAAAAAAAAAAGGAAAATCAGGTCAAGTTATGGTAGCGCACAACCTTAATCCCAGGATTTAGGAGGCAGAGGCAGACTGATCTCTGTGAGTTAGGGACCAGCCTGGTCTACAAAGAGAGTTCTGGGACAGCCAAGGCTGTTACACAGAGAAACCCCATCTCAAAAAAAAAAAACAAAAATTAAAAAATATCAAAAAAAAAAAACCAACAACAAACGGCTAGAGAGATGGCGCAGAGGTTAAGAGCACTGACTGCTCTTCCAGAGGCCCTGAGTCCAATTCCCAGCACCTACGAGGCTCACAACCATCTACAATAAGATCTGGTGCCCTCTTCTGGCCTGCATGGATACATGCAAGCAGAACTCTGTATACATAATAAATAAACCTTTAAAAAAAATCACAAGTAGAGAGATGGCTCAGTGGATGAAGTATTTGTCACACAAACCTAAAGGCCTGAGTTTGGAGCCAGGCACAGGGACATGCATCTATAACTCTGGCACTAAAGGACAGATGCCAGTGGATCCCCAGGTTTCACTGACCAGTCAATCCAACCAAAACATCAAGCTCCGGGTTCAGGGAAGGACCCTGTCCCAAAAGACATCTGATGTCAACCTCTGGCCTCCACACATACACACCTGGCAGAGGACAGCCACACATATGTACACCCAGGTTCAGGAGTACACTTACATTTTAAAAAGTAATCTAGATAAACAAGATGGCTAGCAGGGTAAGGTACTTGCTGCCAAGCCTGACCAAAAAAAAATAAATAAATAAATAAATAATGAAAAAAAAAGAACAAAAAGAAACTAAAATGAGAACTGGAGAGATGGCTTAGTGGCTAAGAGCTCATACTACTCTTATAAATGACCCAAGTTCAGGTCCCAGTACCGACATGAGACACAGTTCACATCTCATGTAACTCCAGGAAATCTGACATCCTCTTCTAGACTCCCAGGCACACACACACAATTTAAAACTAAAATCTTTTTAAAAATAAAATAAAATGATCAGAGAGAGCCTTTGTGTAAACCTGAGTATTTCCAATCTTGGAAGCTAAGTGAGGTCAGACCTGAATGGTACTTGGATGGGAAACCTCCAATTTCCACAGTTATCAACAATGACTGTCATTGTCAACCTTGGTGCATGGCATATGTCCCTCCCCTGACCCTCACTGTGCACTACCAGTTGGAGCACCCCACACTCTCTGGGAACGTTCTAGGGCCTGTGCCTAGTATGGTCACACACATGGCAACAGCTCTCAAATAAAGACATTTTGTGGCACTCCCTGGCACACCCTGAATTTCAGATTAAGATTTGGGTTCTAAGATGTTCAGTTCCCTGCTGCTCCAGGACAAATCTGAGACAAGTCAGAAATTGAGGCTGTGGCAACTTTTTTTAATAGAAAACCCAACCATCATCATCTTTCCTTTGTAAAATACAAAACGAAAGACATAATGGCTCTATTTGCATATTTCTCTCCTCCTGGAAGTAAAAGTGTTTTCTGAGAAGGCAGTGAAATCTGTGCCTTTAGAACTCGGCACTTGTCAAGGGGCAGGGGCAGAATGCTCCCTACAGTAGCACCGAGTCAGGAGACACCCCCACACACACACCCTGGGGCAGGGCAGGCATCCAGCTCCCTTAATCACAGATGGATGGCCTGTTAACATTGTAACTGGGGTGAAAGTCAAGGGGGTCACAGTGGGTGACGTAATTGTCAGGTCCTGTCACTACGCTCTTCTCCAAGCCAACATTAAAAGTATTACTCCGGAACATTCCACAAACTGCAAGTTGTCTGGAGAACTTATTTGAAGTTGGATAAAATTCTTTCTGGAAGTGAAAAGAAACAAGAAGATTAATGGTGTGTGACGATACTCAAGCAGCCAAACTGTTATTTTAGAAGAGTAAGAATTTGTGAGAAAATACAACCTCTGTTGCTAGGAAGCACAGAAACCAGAGTGCCCCAACTGTCCCAATTTGTACTTAATATGTCTAATATAATTAACATTGCCCAGTTTCCACACTGCATGGACAGCAAGGGAAGTTACAGGCTCTCCTTTGTGCAGCACATCCACTCCCAGGTGTGACAAACAAGCATTAATCTGGGGTCAGGCCAGAGCAACACGCCCCCCCCACCCCCCCACCCCCACACACAGGTCTATTCCTGCCAACCATGCTACACTGGGCAAGTCCCTAGACCTCTGAAATCTTCAGTTTTTTCCTCTGTGAGTGTAGTCACCATGCAACACTCTAACAAATACTTAAAATTAACTTAGGAAGAGAAAAAGTTAAAGGGCATAGTGGGCCAGACCTTTAATCTCAGCATTTGAGGCAGATCTCTGTGGGTTTGAGGCCAGCCTGGTCTATATAGAAAGTTTCAGGACAGTCGTGATTTCATAATTCTAAATGAGAGGAGAGATGTAGTGGCATCTTGCTTTGCCAATGAACTTGAGGTGATGGCAGCATTTTCAGCTGCAGATGTGACCCCTTATAAGGAAGAGGAGGGGCTGGCTCACTCTCTCTTGGGTTGTGGTGAGAGCATCAGAAGGGCAGAGACTGCGTCTTCAGGGGCAGGGAGACCATGGCGGTTATTTACTATTATTTGTGTAAGTGCTTCCCTAATAAATACTTGTTTATCATTTATCTTGGTTCATTTGGACTCATTTAAACCCCACCTTCAATGGGGGGGAGAGGGAGGGAGGAAAGGAGGGAGTAATGGAGGGAGGGAGGGAGGGGGAGAGAGAGAGAGAGAGAGAGAATATAATAATATCTGGGCCTCACTCCTAGAGTTCCACTCCCATGCTTTGGCCCTCAGCTGGGGTGCTGGGTGACAGTGATCAAAGCAAACTTGAGTTTGGAGCCATGAGGAAGAGCGAAGAGAGGACTGGCTGGATGCCAGGATCCCTCTCAAGGGCATAGCACCAAAGCCCTGAAAACTCCCATATAGTCCCACATCACAGGAACACACACCAGTAACCCTGCCTTTAACACACAGACCTTTGGGGTCACTCCTCCAAGGCATAGCAATGGTGTCTGTCCTGGCTGTCAGCCAAAATCCTCTGGCAAGTGCTTTAAAGACTCCAGAGAATGCACCACAGGCCCAGTGTGTGGGAGGGGGCTGCCCTGTGGAGGCCCGAGGCCTCGCACAGGAACTGTGGTGAGAATCAGCCTAGCTAGACAGACTCATTACATGATAGGGAGATGTCTGACATGTGCAAACTAACCTCTACCACATAAAGAGTAATGATTTCAGAGCATTTTTCCTTTCATTCTTTCTCTTTCTTTCTTTCCTTCCTCCATTCCTCCCTTCCTTTCTTCCTTTATTTACTGAGACAGTATTTCTTTATGTAGCCCTGGCTGTTATTCTTTTTTAAAAATATTTTATCTATTTATTATGTATACAACATTCTGCCTCCATGTATGCCTGCACACCAGAAGAGGGCACCAGCCAGATCTCATTACAGATGGTTGTGAGACACAATGTGGTTACTGGGAATTGAACTCATGACCTCTAGAAGATCAGCCAGTGCTTTTAACCTCTGAGCCATCTCTCCAGCCCCCTGCCTGATATTCTTTTGCTTAAATTAGAAATAAAAGAAGAGGGGTGCAAGATGAGACTATTAGACATGTTAACCAATTTATTATAGGCCCGGCAAAGTAAGGAGACTAAGAAAGAAGAGGAACAGGGTTAATGGCTGACCGCCGTGTGCCACCACTGCCTGGCTCAGAGCACTTTTCAAAAGGCAAGTTTGATATTTCTAGGAAAACTGAACATAAAATAGTATCCAGATCCCATTGCAATGCACACGGCTCCCCCATAGTTACCAGTGCATTGCAAGGGCACCTGCATCTGAGTCGATACTGCTACTTGGCTGTTCACCAACAGCACCATGCACTCAGGGGCCCCCTCTTGGCCCTCCACATTCAGTACCTTTTGACAAGTGTATGATAACACATATCCACCACTGCAGTATCATGAGAATACTATTAAGAGCTGCTCACAGAGTGCAATGTAGTCAGGCAGGAAGCTGAACAGCCAATCTGAGAACACAACTGTAAAAAGCAGGGACTAGCCATCTCCTAACCTGCCTGATAGCCTCGGCTTGTGGCCCATGGCCTGCTAACCTGAATGTAAAATGCCACTGTTGACCAGAGCAGCATTTTCTCAGTGGCCTTTTATAAAGGCAGAAGCAGAAACTGGGGCTGGGGCTCAGCTGGTAGAACACTATGTCTACATTAGCAAAGCCCCAACCGTCCACAAAACAGGGTATGGTAGATGCTCTTTAGCCAGCACTTGGGAGACAGAGGCACTAAGTTCAGGAGTTCAAAGCCATCTTTGGCTATATGGTGAATTCAAAACTGACTGGGGCTAACTTGAGACCCTTTCTCAAAGATAAAGTATTGCCTGCCTTGATGACGTGAATTGGATCCCCAGGACTCACACGGTGAAAGAAGAACCAACTCTTACAAGTTGTCCTCTATCCTACATACATGTGCCGTGGTGCACCCACAGATGCAAAGGCTGTTGGGACCCAGAAAGTACTGATTATAAAGTATTGGGGTCCAAAACTCCACTCTGTTTTCCAGGAGCCTGATCTCCTATTGTCTTTCAGATGCTGGTCTCAGTGGAGAATGTCTCCTAGGCCCTGGGTGTGCCCACACCTGAGCTAAGAGCCTCATGTGCCTAGGGACTGTTTAGGTGCCTCTTGAATTAAAAGAATTACTTGATATCAGCTTTATACATAATAGTAGATGCCATCTGCGGTCACCCTCACTGTTGGAAAGCTATTTAAGAGGATGCTTGAATAAACCAGGGACTCCAGTTTTCCAGCATGGACTGAGAGCCCTCCTGAAATGACAAGATGCCCGTGTCTAGTCTTTATCACTGTTGGGAAGCTAGGAGTTTCCCAGTCCAGCTCCACCACCCACCACCACCCACCCCCAACTCAGGGATGGACTGGGGGCCATTTGGCTGGCTCTGATTTCAGCCCCAGAGACATCAGTCTGGAATAGATAGCCTGTGTAGCTTGTGACTGATACAAGCCGGGCCCTGGCAAAAGACAAGTAGAATGCAATTTAAGACTACAGAAGCAGCCAGGCGTCGCACACCTTCAATCCCAGCACTTGGGAGACAGAGGCAAGTGAATCTCTGTGAGTTTGAGACAAGCCTGGTCTACAAAGCAATTCCAGGATAGCCAAGGCTTCATAGAGAAACCCTGTCTCAAAAAAAGCAAAGCAAACAAGCAAAACAGAGTACAGAAGCACCGGTCCCCATGTACCTGCTTCCCACAGGAACACATTTTCTCTGATTTTGGAACACTGAATCCAGGAAATCTTTTCAAATAGTCTCTTCACAGGAGTTCTGTCTCTCAGAACTATGACACAATTAAACAATCAACTACCAGGTCTTCAAAAACGGCCACTGTTTAAGAAAATAACCCCCAACATCCTACTTCCAAAGAGGGAGCCCTGTGATCTGCACATGCTCACTGACTCCTTTAGTGCTTTCCCTGGATCTGAGTGACTTCAGTCACAATGGCATCATCTTGCAAACTTAGCTCTGACCACTGCTGAACCCCCATGCACAAAGCACATCTCATTGCTGGAAACAAATTCCAAGGAACACTTGGCTTCATTGATTTGACTCTGGGTACCCATATAAAGGTGTGTGCCCATGTGAAGAAGAAGTGCACACCCATCTGAGGGTATGAGTGAGCAGAAGGACAATGCAAAACCAAGTTTACTTGGACTTCTCTTTTGTTGTTTTGTTTTGTTTTGTTTTGTTTTTCCAGACAGGGTTTCTCTGTGGCTTTGGAGGCTGTCCTGGAACTAGGTCTTGTAGACCAGGCTGGTCTCAAACGCCCAGAGATCCGCCTGCCTCTGCCTCTTGAGTGCTGGGATTAAAGGCGTGCGTCACCAACGCCCGGCTGGACTTCTCTTTCTACAGTGTATTTTGCTTCTAAATGTATTCCACCATCTCTCTGCCCCACCCCATTCTAACATGATTTGAGGTGCCTCACATTTATAATGGGGTCCCAACCCCTGACTCCTCACAACTCTGTTCTTCTAGATGGCTCCTCATCCTGACATGTCTGGCATGCACCTACCGGCATCTCATGCACCGTAGGTGCTCTGCTCCCATAGGTTTGGTTACTGGTCCTGTATATGGAGACAGGCTCGTTGGTCCTGTAGAAGAAAGATACACTCTGTTTCCCAGTCAGTCTAAGCCAGCCAGTCATACTCTGGAAGAATGTGATTGATGCAGCTTTTTGGTGATGTCCCCAGATGGCAATACCATGCCAACAGGGCTCCCACTGTGGCCACTCTTTCCCAGCAGGCCTACCTCCCTGGCTTCCTCTGCTGGCCTTTGCGGGTGATCCTTCCAAGATAAACCCCCACAGAGCACCCAGCCAGCAAATGCTGGAGGGAGGGGCCTTGGTGGAACCTTGGCACAGATTGGGGAACAGCATCTCAGCTCCTACCCTGTCACCCAGCTGTCTCTCCAGTTCTGAGCCCCAGACCTGACAGAGCTTCTGTAGTTGGATCAGAGGAAGGAAATCTGGTTTGTGAAGCTGTGGTCTGTGATACAGAGGCTACTTGTGGGACACCGCTCTGCTTCTCACTCAGAGGCCTCAGCAAGCTGTCCACTTACTTGTGGGGAGGGGTTGGGAGTGTGCCTGCACATGGCTCACAGAAGCCAAGAAGGCTTCCATCATTTACAAGGGAAGCCTCAAAAGCGAACACACACACACACACACACACACACACACACAAGCTCACGAGCACACGCACTCACTTTCACGGTTACTCAGACAGCAGGTCCAAGACCCTGGTAGTAATGATGACACAAGGTACAGGGTCCGCCTCTGGCTTCTTTTAACCTCAGCAGCCAGGCAATTTGGAGTTTTCACACACAAGCTAGGGCCACCGAGGGCACCTCCTGGAAGAGGTAACCTCAGTTTTCCTCACCTGTAGCCACGAAACCACCCCGGGTTGTTGAACCTGACTGGGAGCTGCTCGCTCACGGAGTAGTAATCGCTCGTCTTCTCTGGGGCAGGCTTAGCCTTGGGCTCCACCAGCTCCATGCACTCTTGGGGGTTTTCTTCCGACATTTGACCTCCACAGGAAAGTAGCCTCAGACTAGTACTCAAAGCTGCGGCTGCCGCATCAGGGCGTCTTGTTACTAGGCAACTATGTCGCCTGGCCGGAAGGAGGGGCGGTCCTTTGTAGGTTGCTTGCCACTGGAGCTATAGGCAAGTCTAGAATCTTTCAGAGGGCGAATAACAAAGGGAACAGTGAGGAATTCTAAGCTAGGACTGTCGCGCTAAGGAATCCCAAGCTTTCTGACAGCAGCCCCTCTGGGAGTTACGCTGGCCTTTTTCTGGGACTTACGCTGGCCTTTTTCTGGAACTGTTGGGAACATCCTGGTATCATCCCAAAAGGCAGTAGGGATAATATCCTGGGCAAATGAAACCTTAGGACCTGGGACTTAACTAAAAACATACAGGAATTATTAGATGCTTCCAATCTCTACCTGAGCAAGCACGCACTGGTCTGCAGTTTACTATTCTTGCCAGGACTTCTCCTTAGCCTCTGTTACCCCTCGCTCCCCACAATTCAGCCTAAGTTTAGATCCGAGATGTTGCTAAATTTAGGAAATCTTCCCAGGCCGAATACTATTGAAATATAAAAAAATTATCTTGTGAACAGTGCATGTTGATAAATAGTGCAATGCCAGAAAGCAAATCTTGAGTTAGAGGCCAGACTGATCTACACAGAGTTCTAGGTCAGCCAAGGGTACATAAGCCGAATACTATTGAAATATAAAAAAATTATCTTGTGAACAGTGCATGTTCATTGCTAGTGCAATACCAGAAAGCAAATCTTGAGTTAGAGGCCAGACTGATCTACACAGAGTTCTAGGTCAGCCAAGGGTACATAATGAGACCCTGTCTCAATAATAATAAATAATAATAATAATAATAAATAATAAATAATTTAAAACAAACAATAAAAGTCACACGGGGGATAGTGTGGTGGTGCACACCAATAATTCCAGCACTTGGAGACAGAGACAGGCAGATCTTGGTGAGTGCCAGGCCAGTCAGGAAAACTTAGGTTAGTGTTGTCTTCATTCTTTAAAGTAATTTGGGGGCTGGTGAGATGGCTCAGTGGTTACGGGCATTTATTGCTCTTACTGGGAACCTAGGTTCAACTCCCAGCACCTACAAGGTGACTCACAAACATCCTTAACTCTTTCTTACAATCTCCACGGGCACCGGGCACTCATAGGGTGCACATGTAGGCAAAATATTCATCCACAAAATATATACATCTAAAACAAATTTCAAATTTAAAAAAAGCAATTAAAAAGCAAACAATAAGACAGGCCGTGGTGGTGCAAGCACTCGGGAGCCAGAGGGAGGTGGAGCATGTGTTCAAGGCCAGCCATTC